CCGTCACATTCGACGAGTATCGGCACCTTGGACTAAAGAAAACCGCGGAAAACGTTTTAACCTGCAATTCCTCTCGCTGTTTCCCTAGTTCAGTGAGTCGTTCACAGATCTGTCTCTAAATCAAACTTGCTATCACCGGGGAATAGCGCTTTGTCTGACTTGCATTTGCCCATTTTGTTCACTCGGCGTTCTCAGCGAAGCAAATCGGGGTTTGACTTTCAGATAAAGGTGTTGCTTATGGTGAAACGGGCATTGCTGGACACGCGGTGTCCCAGACAGACCACTGGGAACAGGGATTTTTTTTGAGTTATACTACTCTAGATGATCTCAGCATACCAAATCTAGATTTAACTCACATATACTCACGGTGATCAGCGCGAAACGGGGTATATTTTGACATTTGGGAGCAACCGCATGAGCCGTCTTCGAGAGAGAGGGTGTGAAGAGTAGAGCAACCTCCAAGACCCTACTGGTCGTTGAGGACCTCTGAAGCGAGCGCGGCGAGTGACAGGCGCCGTAGCCCTTGGCTTCAGCGTACAGTAGGTAGCCCCTCCCCGGGTTTCCTCACAACGTGGCCGTCACACCGCGTGGGACGGGAAGGGAGGGGCGCAGGGGAGAGGAGTCGGCGAGGGCATCGGAGCAGGCGCGTGCGGAGAAGAAGAAGGCGGCAGAGGATAACAAACCCTTCGTCAACAGGGTGCAGAAGGGCGGAATGGCGAAAGAACTCACGAATCGGGCGAAACTGTGGGTGGACGATAAGTCGTTCGGGACGTTGGGGGAGGGCCGCAGACTATACAACATTGTGAACGACACACGTGAGTACCTCGTCGCCATAGCGAGTGGACTTCCGATCCCGAAAGTCCCCAGAAGCGTCGCCATGCCCAGATTGAACGTCACGACGAGGAGGCTTACGGATGCAGGGCAGTTGCAGGGAGCACTGAGTCGCGCGTTGAAATGCCAGAATGTAGCGATGAGGGTTTTGCATGGATGGGTCTTCGAGTCGGGGTGCAGAGAAAGGGGATACATTCTCGCCTTCCGGTACGTCCTAGAATCAGTGGCCACCGACATCGCACGTGCAATGTGGCATCGGGAGGAGTGGAGCAGCGTGGTGACCCCTGCCATTTGCGCGAACACGCTGGAGCTGGGGATGGACTGCCGCTGTGGTACGCAGGTGCGCACATTGAAAAAAGGCCAAAGGACGACAACATGGCGGCTTACCAGGAGGCGACTGTCGTGCGACTGATCGCGGCTTTCAGCACTGCGGTTGAAACGGGGCAATCAATCGAAGGCGGATCCATCATTCCCGAACGTCTGTGCCGTGTGGTGGAGAGCTTCAAGATCCTCTTGGCCAGTGTATATGGCCGTACGTACTCCTGTATGACCGTACGTACGGGCGTCGGGCCCCGGTACGGGCCATACGTACGGACTTTGGGCCCTCCGTATGTGGCCTTCCGCGGGGGTGTTGAGGGGGTGGATGGGCTTGGGGGGGGTCGG